CTCATTTTCTATGAATAACTTAATCTGTCTGACAGTATCATATCTCTCAGTTCTTAAAATAAACACTTTTTCCTTTATAAAGAACCTTTTGTGCAAATGTTCCATGGATGTTAATGATTATTTATGGAACCACAGATGCCAATAAAGAACCTTTATTTACGAATTTATATAATCTATTATCATCATCAGGCTAATTTTATAGAAATACTCTATTTGTGTTTACATGTATTTGTGTTTTTTTAAACAATAGATCCATGTGACAGGACTGCATCCCAGTTATATAAAGATTTGATTCATAAAATCAAAACTGGCTTAAACTACAAGTCAAGCAACTGAAAACATACTCTTTGAATAAATTTAGGTAGGCTGCTCATGATGTTATTGCTCCTGGCTATAGTTTTGATTGCTATGACACAAAGTTGGCCAGTTCTTTTATTGAAATAAATTGATATGGAAAAGATCATCATAGTTTTAACCAGGTTATTTAAGCCCTGTCCAATATGATGTTCTCTATCTGCTATGGACATTCTCGTTTCCATTAGGTATGCAGAACTGGACCTGTCTGACTCACTGCAGGTTCAAACATTACCTGCACCCCAAAAGCTGAAGTCAGAACTACTGTCACAGTGAATCATAGGCTTTACTGGACTCCGCTAAATTATTTAACGCCGTGACACGGTATGTGAACTCAGTTCATCCCACAGCCCTGAAAGAGAAAGGCAGAAACTGCTCTCTAAAAATATTTCAGCGAGAAACTGTTAAACTCATAACATTTAATTATGGACTAAAATTATAGGCTTAAAGTTGTTGCTTTTTACTTTCCTCTCTCTTTCTCTCTCTCTCTCTCTCTAATTTACATTTGGGTGATTAACCTGCTGCTGCTGCTTATAAGTTGGCAAGCAAAATATGGAATATACCGCCCCCTTTAGGGCAACAGGAAAACAATAAAAACGTCTAATAAAATGAGCACCTCCAACAATATTAAAGAAACATTGCATAGTACTTAAAATAATTTATAATAATATTTTTCAGACAGCAGATTTAAGCAAAAACTCATCAACCATCTAGACGTAATATGGCATGCTGTAAGAAAACGACTCAAAGCAAATTTTCACAAGTTTTACAGTATTTACTTGGGACAACATGTAAAATTTAAAATAAAAGCATGAAATTGTATTGTTCTGCCATTTAAATGGTTAAAAAAACACATTTTAAATATGTGACCCTGGACCACAAAACCAGTCATAAGTAGCATGGGTATATTTGTAGCAATAGCCAACAATACATTGTATGGGCCAAAATTATTGATTTTTCTTTTATGCCAAAAATCATTAGGATATCAAGTAAAGATCATGTTCCATGAAGATATTTTGTAAATATCCTACCGTCAATATATCAAAACTTTGATTAGTAATATGCATTGCTAAGAACTTCATTTGGACAACCTTAAAGGACATTTTCTCAAAATGTTGTTTTTTTTGCACCCTCAGATTCCAGATTTTTAAATAGTTGTATCTCGGCCAAATATTGTCCTATACTAACAAACATACATCTCTTACGGAGTGAACAGGTCGAGAGGCATGCGGATCCATTTGCAAAGCTTTATTTAAAGACGTGGTCAAAACAGGCTAGGGTCAGTCAGGTATATCCAGGTATATCCAGGGCAAGACAAAAGAGTAGTCCAGTAAACAGGCGTGGGTCAATCGACGGCGAACGTAATCCAACAGGGCAAGACAAAGAGAGATAATGCAGGTACACGGCAATAGTCCAGGCAGGGGCAAACAGAATCCGAACGGCAAGACGAAAAGGTAATCCAAAATACACAGGCAAGAATCTGAACACGGGAAAGCAGGCAAGGCAAGACTATGACTAGACAAAACTAGAGCAGGCTCCGTAAAGTAGCTATCAGCTAGGGTAGCAATATGTGCTTACAATACTTGGCCCTGAACTGTGGTTAGAGCCTCTGTATTTATTGTGTATGTGATTGGCTACAGGTGAGAGTGTGATTAGTGAAATGGAACATGGGAAATGTAATCCAGGGTGACGTGTACCAATCTGTGTAGTGTGAGAGTCAATATAATCAGAAGGCGACCTCTGGTGGCGACAGGCCTAGCTTCAGAATCAAATCACTGAGGGTGCTTCTTAAATTAGTGAGGGTGCTCTAACTATATATATATATATATTATATCAGTGAAAGTTCATGGTGATCTGAAACTTGTAAAATAGAGTTTTAAACCTGCAGCCTTTCAACTCTTGAACTGTTAAATCACACATTCTACATTGCACATCCTTTTTCCTCAGATGCTCCAAAAAACACATCGTTGTCAGCGTTTACCTCCAGCTCAGTGATGGAGGGCGATCCAGTGACTCTGAGCTGCAGCACTGACGCAAACCCAGCAGAGCTCAACTACACCTGGTACACAGAGACGGGATCTCAATTTGAGCTCCTTCAGACTGGACATAATCACACCTACATTGTGACAAACCCCACATACGGTGCACGGTATGGCTGTAAAGCTCAGAACCAGCATGGCCAATGCAATGCAACAATTCAACTTGATGTTCAGTGTGAGTACAAAGACAAACCTCAAATTAATTTAATCTGATAAACTCTGGCGCGGCTCCAGAATCAAATCACTGAGGGTGCTTCTTAAATTAGTGAGGGTGCTCTAACTATATATATATATATTTATTTTTAACTATATATATTTGCACCATAGCAACAGATATATATATATATATTAGTGGCGTCCGTTGCTATGGCGCAAAGAGCGCTCGGTTCACAATCACTAACGTTAAAAAAGCTGTCACTCATCTTAGTTCATCGCGATCTATTTATGAATAACAATTCAGAACGCAACATTTAGTAATTTAGATTGTCAGGGAGTAAAACACATAAGGTGTTATTAAAATTGTTATTTGGCATTATTATTGAAAATTATTTGGTGTATAGAAATGAGCAACACTAGTGTCTGGTTTTAAAGCTGTGAAGAAACATTCCCACTCATTGTATTTCTCATAAAACATCACAGAGCAGACACAGTCAATGCTAATCAGTGTCTGACAGGTGATAAGAGGAGGAGGAATTTACTTCAGAACACTTTAATACCAGTTTTACAGTGAGAGTGAATGATGTAGGTATGTTTATTATATATTTTGTGTTTCTGACCATTAATTAGGAGTTACTGAACAATATAAATATAATATAAAACTATTTTATTTTAATACATTGCTAATTATAACAATGGTGATGGTGGTGTTTTACTTAATATTTTAAAATAACCAAGTGTATTTATGCTTAAAGGGATAGTTCACACAAAAGATAAAATTCTGTCATTAATTACTCACCCTCATGCCTTTCCAAACCCGTAAGACCTTCATTCATCTTTGGAACAAAATTTAGATTTTTTTTTATGAAATATGGGAGCTTTCTGACCCTGCATAGATAGCAACACAAAAAAAAACCTCCGGCGATTTGAGCGGTGAGTGGATTCTAACTTAAAAGCCTCTGAGTCAAGAAATCAACAGATATGTCTGTGATTGGCTACACTGCTCAATGCTGCAAAAACACACTGAAACAGAAATCGATATCCAGTCCAGAGCGCAAACTATAACGCACTGGATAGTTTGCCAAATATTCAATAAAATGCTATTAATAGAGCTTTAACTGAGGGTGCTTTTGATTTCGTTTGAGGGTGCTTAGCACTCTCTAGCACCCCCGTAGAACCGGGCCTGGGTGGCGAGTGGACGGAAGACCACAGACAGGATTCGTGACAACATCAATGGAAAGCTTATTTATTAAGCTATCAGATGATGTATAAATCTCAATTTCAAAAAATTGACCCTTATGACTGGTTTTGTGGTCTAGGGTCACATATTTCAAAATGTTTTACAAAAATAACATTTAAGAGAAAAGCTGTGTAAAGCAGTATTATTTTAGTAACATTGGTATACTATTATATTTTTGTTGAAATTTTGAATTTGATTTTTTCCCGTTTGTTTTAATTTTAATTTACATTTTAAAGTTTTAGTCATTATTTTATGTAATTTGTAGTTTTTGTATTTTAATTATATCTATTATATCTATATAGTTTTATTTAGTTTTTTAGTTTTAATTTATTTAGTTTTAGTTATTTTACTTAAGTACTGGTAAAAATTGTAACTACTTTCAACTAATGTTTCTTTTATAATAATAAACTGGGTTACAGGCCTTTTTTATGTTAACAGAGCAGATCACAGTAACCTCTCATGTAGAGGTCAAATGTCACCATGTAACAATTCACTATTGTTTGGGAAAATATTTGCAGTATCACCCTCTATCCTCTGTGCAAGAGAATCTTCTCTAAAGACATGATTTTTTCAACTGAGTAGGCCTGCATGTTTGTTCTCATCATTGCACTGACATTACCTGCACAAAACTGCAGCTTTGGATGAATGAACTACTGCCACAAACTTCAACAGGCTACTGTTTGTCTGTTGCAACTTGCATGCAGTTGAGGACATAAGGAGAAAAATAATATGTCAGTGTTTTTTCTTTTCTTTTCTCTTTTCTCATATTTGAACATTTTGGTTGAATAGCTGCTCGTTTATGTAGGCCCACGTGCACTGTTATGTCACCAGTCTGTCAGTCTTTGGCTTTTGTAAAACTAATTTGCTGCATTGTTGCAGCGGATGTCTCGCCTCCTCGTGAATTAACAAAAGCTTTGAGAGGGTATCCCAGCATCGCCCGGCTGTCTCCCGGGGAAACGTCCGGAGTAAACAAGAGCCAATCTCCACGCAACCGGGCGGCAGCGGCAGCAGCAGCAGCTCTCGTGTTGTGATTGCTGGAACTGGCGCGCCACACGTCCCTCCACCTCAGAGCAAGACAGGGAGGTTTGCTAAAAAGAACATATCTTACATTAAGACAACAGTTTAACTCATGTGGCTAAATAGGTTAAAATGGACTTTACAGTGGCTTAAATATATATTTGTGTTTGACTGACTAGCTCAAGGACTGAGTGATGGATAGGAAAGGAAACATGCTGCGCGCCACTTCAGCTGGGTACCGTTTACCGGACCGACCCAATGGTCCTCTCACCTCTCAGTCCTCGGTCTCAGTGTTCAGGCGCTCAGCGGGCAGCACACGAAACACCGGCGAGACACCGGCGCAAGACGATGATACCCGAGATCCGGTAAAACAGGACCAGGTTTGGAGAGAGTTTGTGCGCGCGGAGCGAACCGGTGTGAAAGAATGGTAAGAAAGATAATTGCATTCACTCTCTTAGAAATGTCATGGAGTTGCCGGTTTGTTTTCTCACTTTCTCTGGAGTTACGTTACTAATCTTTTCTTTCACCTCTTAAATGTGGCATTGTTTGACCCGTTATTTGATACGGGATTGATTGTGGTTGACCAGGCGCCCCCTGGACGGTGTGCGTTACGGTTACTCATCTCTTGTTCTTTACCAACTACTGTATATATGGTACAGCCGTGGTTACTGTACACAAAACCTCCATCGTATAATAAAACGATCACAATTTCGCTTCTAAATAATTCATTGCATCGTATCGTCTGGAGATAGGAGAAGATCATGCTGTAAAATGCTTCATTATTGTTTTATCACAGGGAGAAGAACTGGAGTTTCCTGATGAACTTTGACCAGCTGGTAAGAAACCCACTTATCAGTGATGACCCAGAACTGCTACTCATGGGTTTTATTGCAATATTGTTCAAATGTACATTTAATTAACATATATTGCAAATATAAATTACTATACTGTTTAAAAGTTTGGGACCAGTAAGATTTTCCTAAAACAATTGAATATTTTTTAATATTCTGAGAAAGGATGCATTAAATTGATCAAAAGTAACAGTAAATACATTTATGGTTACAAAAGATTTACAATTCAGATAAATTATGTTCGTTTGAACTGTTAATTCATCAAATATTCCTGAAAAATTGTATCACAGTTTCTGGAATGATTTTGAAGGATCATGTGACACTGAAGACTATACAGTATGACTGCTTAAAATTCAGCTTTGCCATCACAGGAATACATTATATTTTAAATTATATTTAAACAGTTGTAATAATCTAATTAAAAACAAATTGTAATAATATTTCAGAATACTACTATTTTTACTGTGTTCTTAATGAAATTCATGCAATTTGGGTGAGCATAAGAGACTTCTTTCAAAATAAATCTTGCCAACCCCAAACTTTTGAACAGTAGTGTATATTTTATCATTTTCAATTAAATTATATTACAATTATTTGCATCTATTGTTTGAAATAGTTATTGCTCTTTCTAATAAATTATTTCATGCACTCATTCATTTTTGTTAGTTAAGTAGTTGTAAAATATCATTAAAATGAAGTGGAGATAATATCAGTTTGCATGCATGGGACTGGTCAGACTTCATGTTCACATGATGTTATTTCTACTACTAATAACAATAATGATAATGATTTATATGTGACCTTGGACCACAAAACCATTCATAAGGGTCAGTTTTTCTGAAATTGCTTTCCATTGATGTATGGTTTGTTAGTATAGGACAATCTGAGGGTGCAAAAAAATTCAAAATTTTGAGAAAATCGCCTTTAAAGTTGTCCAAATGAAGTTCTTAGCAATGCATATTACTAATCAAAAATTAAGTTTTGATATATTTACGGTAGGAAATGTACAAAATATCTTCATGGAACATGATCTTTACTTAATATCCTAGTGATTTTTGGCATAAAAGAAAAATCGAAAATTTTGCCCCATACAATGTATTGTTTGCTACAAATACACCTGTGCTACATATGACTGGTTTTGTGGTCTAGGGTAACATATTTATCGTTCCCTCAATCCATGCTCAAGGTGCTTTACGAAGCATTTATTATTATTAATATTATTTTATTAAAGCTATCATTCATCTTTATTTTTAGGTGAATATTTTCATGGTCAGTTGTCATGATGGATGCATTATTAAGCTGCATTATTAAGCCTGTATGTCAATTTAGTTGTATTTCCCTTGTCACTCTCACAGGGCCATCCGCGTACAGAAACTCCTCTCCCTAGCTCTGTGTCTTTATACTCAGACAGAGTCCCAAACACCAGGAACCAAATGTTCGGCAGCGGCCTGTACACTGAGCTGGGCAAAGAGCTGATTCGCCTGGACAATCTGCTAACCCTGACAGCGAACCACCGCAAGACCAAAAGGAATCCAGAGATGCAACCCTGCTGAGGTTTACCAGGCAAAGGATCTGTTCAAAACACTGTATTAGCAGAGATTTGTTGCCTTCTTTAGAGACCTTCCCTTGGGTCGTTTGGTTTGTCTTGCCTTTACCTGTATAACAAACTCAAGGGTGTTCAGTGGGTGACCGTTTGTTTTGTAAATGTATTTTTTTCTCTGGACAGCCCAAATACCAGCGGCCAACCTGTGTACTGTATGTATGTATGTGTGTGTTTGTTGTTTGTTTTGACAGTGTGTTGAGAGCTTATGTTTTTATATTAGATTTTGTGTTGACATTAATATGCATCTCTCAGAGTACTATAATATGTTGATAAAGTAAAGATGCAGTAAAGATGACCCCGAGTTTAGAATATACTATTTGCATATTCATTTTTTAGATGAACGCTGTTACTCCTCAGTGTATAAATGCTACTTAGTTACAGAACTGGATTAAAACTCCTAGATCAGAGAGATTTATTTTTCTGTACTTGAAAGGGTTAGATTTGTTTGCATCTCAAGAGAAAAGAGGAATTAGATGTGTCGGGTAATTCTTCACAGTTCAGTTTACAAATAGTCCTAGCCAATTTAGACATTTTATCCATGGAACATTAGAGGATTAGAACTGGAATATTTTGCCAAGACCTTCTACATTTGTAATGTTTAAAAATATACATCTTGCCAAATTATATTCCAATAAAGTTTTTCTCCTTTTAAACGGCTACACTGTGTGCCTTTATTTTTGGCCACAGATGTGATGACAGTCAAAAGAGATTTCAAAATACATTCTCATATATATATTTTTTTATTTGTACTCTTTGAGAGAAAGAGGGATGAAATGCTTTTGACAGGCCAGATCAGTGCAGCTCCAAATGGCTTGAACTTTTTATTTTCCTAGTAATTTTATGTGTAATAATTAGGATTGATTTGAAACTTGAGGAAGGGTAGGATAATGCATAAAATGGAGAGTCGGTTTAATCTTGCTTGTGATACCAAATATATTTCAGGTAATATTACTACAGCCAGGTTGTTTCTCATGTGTGTCCCATTAGAGATAAAACGCGCCCTCTAGTGGACGAAATTGCCTTCTTAACCATATCAACAAGTGAAAATTTACTTCATAATGGAGTTGCACCGACAAGAGGTCGCTGTTCCACTCATTCATTAGGAGGTTTTGTTGCTTTAGTGTTCCTCGCGCTACTTCAAAATGGGTTTGAGAATAAATTCATAAAGGACTCTGAATTTTATGAATAAACCAATAGGCCATTTATGAGGACCAACTGCTATTTCATTTAATTTGAAAACTTCATATACATGCAATTCTTTATTTGATTCTCCTCATAAATAAACAAATAAAAAGGCAATTTACAATGTACACCACTCTGCAGCAACATGATCCAATGGGATAATTTTAACATCCTGTGTTTAGTCACCTCTCATTTCACACTCAGTTCAGTCAACTCACGTTCATTACAGCACAACCTTTACTCCTGAACAGTGTTGGGGAGTAACTAGTTACATGTAACGGCGTTACGTAATTTAATTACAAAATAAATGTAACTGTAATCCGTTACAGGTACTAAGAAGAAATGTGTAATTAAATTACAGTTACTTATGAAAATGTTAACGATTACAAAGGGGATTACATTTGAATATTTACACACATCCACATACAGATTTAATTGATTTCTTTCCCAAATTGCACTGACTACTCTGAGACATACGGTCCTATAATTTCCGCGATGCGGAAAACACAGACTGGTTTGTAGCAGTCATAAAAACAGAATTCCTATAGCCTAACGCGGACGGAATATGCCACATTTTGGACGAACTGTTACATTTTAAATAGGGTAACTTGTAATCTGTAACCTATTACATTTCCAAAGTAACCTTCCCAACACTGCTCCTGAACATTGTGTTTAGAAATGATGTGGAGTAACGTTAAACTAATAAAACTAAAAGCCGAGTGGTGTACCGTGATTCTTCTGTGATATGCGGTGGGTGTGAGAATGCTATCCACTGGAGGATATTTACATTATCCCGTGTGCCGCCGTTCGTGGTCGAGACAGAGAGAAGAGAGGCTTATGGGTAAAGACGGCGGTTGTCGTCGACGTTAGTGATGGATTCATTTGAGCGAATCGGTTCTTTTGGCCAACTCCTTTCAAAGAATCGCATACATAAACGATCCAACAATTCTTTTACGTCATGACGCACTCGCGTCATCACGTGGTTCTTGATATCCTAGTATGGCATATTGCCTACTGTAAAACCTTCATATAAGCCATATTCAGGCACGTTTATTGCAATTTCATGTGTTTTCATTGAATTTAAATGTAGTAATTAGAACTTAAATCAATATTAGTTGCTAACTCGAGAACCGCTCAGGCGAATCGTTTGGACCATTTTTGTGAGTCGGATCAACTGATTCATTTAAAAAGGTCCGAGTCAAAAGAACGATTCGATCACGGATCGGACATCGCTAGTTGATGTCAGAGAAACGAACTCGAGGCTCGAGCTACCTGCTGGAATACCGAAGAACCGATCCGCGGAACTGGCGCGAGCGACCTAATCCACTAACGACACGCGAGACACTTTAGGAAAGCGCTTGCGAGTAACTTAAAATAATTAACTTTATCAGATATTATTAATAATACGCATAAAACGCACCGGTTCCGTTTCACGTCGCAGTTAGTGTGTTGCAGGAATGCGTTGGAGTTTGTGGTCTGGTCGACTCCAACAGATGCTCGCCTTTGAACAACAGCAACGTTGTTTATGAACTGGGGAAGATTTGAAGTCAGGCTCAGCCAGAGGGGGAGAGGAGACGAGGGGAGGGAGGAGAGAGGCGGGGAGGAGAGGAGAGGAGAGGAGAGGGGCGCCCAGAAAACGCCCTGCTGCTCAATCCTCTCAAAATTAAAAGTTTATCGCGCCATTGACGGTACGCTCGCATTAAAGGATGGGAAGTTTGATTATGCTCAGTTGTTTAAAGTAACCACTTCATAGATTGTTTTGAGGGGGAAAGTTTGGAAAACCTCAATTGTTCCCATTGGATTCTTTTTTTTTCCGCTTTATTCTGGACAAGCCCGGGGTACTTTTTGGAGGGCGGTGAGTCGGAGGCTGTCTAGGCCCGCTGCTCGACAACTTGAAGGAAGATCTTGTATCTTTAATGTGAACCCGAAAAGTTGGGCAGATCGCTTCGTTGCTCAGACTGGCGCCAGGACAAGGCAAAAATGTCGCTAGGAGCGGAGAGAAGGATGGAAAACCGGTTGAGACAACTGGAAGCCATGCTCAAAGAGCCGCGGTCTGCAATCAACTTGGAAAGTTTGCTGGTTAGTTCCCCGTCCTTTTTCATGAATGTTTAATGCACCTCGAAGATCCGTTGCCTAGTGACACAGAGAAAAAAGAAATAACAACCTAACCGCGATGTTGCATTGCAGAAATGAGTGTCTAGTGAACGTTACAGTCGACTGTGAGGAAGCTCAGTGTGCACGCTGATGTCTCTTTTAATATCCTCGGTATTTGTACACAATCATCGCCCCACTTCCTTCTTTCCTTGTCAGTAACTTGTGGATAACCTCAAGTCCAAGTCTCCGCGTATAAAACTATTCTCACGTACACTTGCCATATTTGAATAACTCTACTGCGTCAAGTTCTGAGTTCATATGTTGCCTCGCTCCAAATATAGTAATATTGTTGGCCTGCAACATGACAATTTTGTAATTCCCCCTTCCTGCTGTTGGTGGCTTGTTTTTGTTCTGGAGGTAGACTGCTATTAACTGGCCTCTAGGTGAAGGTATTGGACACATAGAGCAGGAATATTCACAGATTGATCTAATCTCTTCAAAGTGCACTTTGAATTGTTTTTATTTTTCCTTTGTGAACTGATAGATGAACGTTTAGTGCCCTTCCTTTTTTGTGTGTGGGCACATGTACAGCTCAGTTGGTGCCAAGTGATAATATTTCGCGAGTTTGTCAATCGGTTTATGTCTGACCTAGCTATTGACGAAAACACAGATGATAGGAGGAATGCGTTGGAGTTTGTGGTCTGGTCGACTCCAACAGATGCTCGCCTTTGAACAACAGCAACGTTGTTTATGAACTGGGGAAGATTTGAAGTCAGGCTCAGCCAGAGGGGGAGAGGAGACGAGGGGAGGGAGGAGAGAGGCGGGGAGGAGAGGAGAGGAGAGGAGAGGGGCGCCCAGAAAACGCCCTGCTGCTCAATCCTCTCAAAATTAAAAGTTTATCGCGCCATTGACGGTACGCTCGCATTAAAGGATGGGAAGTTTGATTATGCTCAGTTGTTTAAAGTAACCACTTCATAGATTGTTTTGAGGGGGAAAGTTTGGAAAACCTCAATTGTTCCCATTGGATTCTTTTTTTTTCCGCTTTATTCTGGACAAGCCCGGGGTACTTTTTGGAGGGCGGTGAGTCGGAGGCTGTCTAGGCCCGCTGCTCGACAACTTGAAGGAAGATCTTGTATCTTTAATGTGAACCCGAAAAGTTGGGCAGATCGCTTCGTTGCTCAGACTGGCGCCAGGACAAGGCAAAAATGTCGCTAGGAGCGGAGAGAAGGATGGAAAACCGGCTGAGACAACTGGAAGCCATGCTCAAAGAGCCGCGGTCTGCGATCAACTTGGAAAGTTTGCTGGTAAGTTCACCGTCCTTTTTCATGAATGTTTAATGCGCCTCGAAGATCCGTTGCCTAGTGACACAGAGAAAAAAAGAAAAATAGCAACAACCTAACCGCGATGTTGCATTGCAGAAACATCAACTGTGAGGAAGCTCAGTGTGCACGTTGATGTCTCTTTTAATATCCTCGGCATTTGTACATAAACATCGCCCCACTTCCTACTTTCCTTGTCAATAACTTGTGGCTAACCTCAAGTCCCAATCTCCGCGTATAAAAGTATTCTCTCATACACTTGCCATATTTGAAAACCTGCTGCGTCAAGTTCTGAGTTCAACTGTTGCCTCGCTCCAAATATAGTAATATTGTTGGCCTACAACATGACAATTTCGTAATTCCCCCTTCCTGCTGTTGATGGCTTGTTTGGTTCTGGAAGTAGACTGTGCTATTAACTGGCCTGAAGGTGAAGGTATTGGACACATATTTCTGAGAGCAGAAATCTTCACAGATTATTCTAATCTTTTCGAAGTGCACTTCATAGAATGTATTTATTTATTTATTTCTGAACTGATAGATGAACGTTCAGTGCCCTTATGTGTTTGTGGCCACATGTGCGGCTCAGTTGGTGCCAAGTGATAATATCTCAAGAGCTTGTCAATCGGTTTATGTCTGACCTAGCTATTAAAAATACATAAGATAGGCAGAATGCCAGAAGTTAGATAAATCTGAGAAAACCTCCTTTTGGGGACACCATCAAACAGAAAAATGTAATAAACTATATATACTGAATGAAAATTATTAAAAAGGTTTCTTTTAGAAGACTGATTATAAATAACTTGAAAGCAAGAGAAATTAATTGTAATGCTCGTCAGATATGTTTTTTTTTTCAATGACCAATCACTACTGTTTAAAAGTTTGAGATCAATGAGATATATATTTATATATACACACACACACACACACACACACACACACACACACTTTTAGTCACCAAGGATGCATTAAATTGTTCAAAAGTGTCAGTAAAGACATGTATAGTGTTACATAAGATTTCTGTTTCAAATAAATGCTGTTCTATTAAATTCTGTTATATTTTAAATGATCATATATCACTGACAACTGTAGTTATGGTTGATGATAATTCAGATTTTCCATCACAGGAATAAATTACATTTAAAATGTTAAAATAGAAAACATTCAATTAAAACTTCTAATAATATTGCTCTGTTTTACCATATTGTTGATTAAATAAATGCAGCAAAACATGTCAATTGAAAAGAAACTATACATTATTGACAAAACAAATACTGATTATTGGCAGATTCCAATAGTTTTATCACTAGTTTAGTCCTACATTTGATAGTTAATGCTTAATTGTCTAATTTCTGGAACACTAATGACATTAAACAGAAAAAAAAAGAAAGTATGACAAACTCTCAACCTATCAACCTTTGGTCAGTATGACATATAGTCCCACCCCAAACTCTTGCTATTGGTTAAATCAGTGTTGTTGTGTTGGGCTGGTTGTGATGCATAAACTAACAGTCATGATTTGACAGAACAACAGTGTTCACTGTTCAGGGAAACCAGCCTATTAATGGATTACTTATGATTTTGGATAAGATAACAAACTATTTGCATGCCTAAAAGAAAGTATTGTATATCGGAATAATTATGTTAGTTTTACATATGTGTGTTTGGACTTCATCACAGATACATGAAGTAGTTGTGAAACTTACTGCTCATAGTAAGTGAAGTGATTTATTTGAGGCAGTCAAGGAGGCAGTTCTTTTGGTACTGAATGTTCCTGCATGCATAAACCGCATGTAAAATGTCAGATCTGTGTGGCTGATTAAAGTTAATCAGCCAAAACCAAACAATACTCCACAGACACTTGATGAAGCAGGATTTGACTCACTGTATCTGGGCCAGAGTTTGGTCTAAGCTCTGAGCAGATATCTGAGAGAAAGATATGGGTCATCTTTCTGAGAGAATCGGTGTGTATGCTTATCAAGGAGGGGTGTGTGTGTGTGTTGTTCATTATGAGAGTGCTGGTGACAGAGTTTCTCCACAGCTGAAGAATGTGTGTGTTTCCTGGTGAGGAGATGAGCAGAGGAGAAGTGGGAAGCAGTGAGTGGGAGTGAACAGGCTTCACTCTCTTTCTGTCTTTCTCTCTGCCATTTTTAGCTCAAGTCCCTCTCTGGTTTAGCTCAGGGTAGGAGATAGCTCTGTGTGAGAGTGTTTAGCTGTAACGAGATGCTTCTAGAAAACACATCACAGATATTTCCATTTCGTTAGTGCAATATTCTTCCAATAAGAAGTTGAGAATGCAAACACTTCTTATCCCCAAAAATACAAATATTCTGTTTCTCTTTGCTTTCATCCCCTTCATGAACTCTTTAACTTCATTAAATTGTCATTAATTATAGCGCAAGCTGATTACTGACAGTTATCCAGCATAATGCGATTGATTTCAAGCCTTTAAATCAAGTATTTGAGCCTGAGATTATACCCGCTTTGGCCAGTCTGTGTGTGTTTGGAAGAGTGATGCCAAGTGAATATATCAGGAATTTTTTTAATTTTCCATGTATGTTTCCAAAGGCACTTTTCCATATTTATGGTGTAATGTAAGCCTCCTTTTTTACTCTGATTACTACATTGTCTTATTGTGACAATGTATTTTTAATCCTGCACAAAAAAGGTTCCAACAGTTCTTGAATCAACTTAGTTAATGTCAGAAACTGTATTTTTACATGTAATGGTCACCTGATATTTTTTTTAAACAGCTGATGTCGATGCCGGTGTATGACACGGTTTAATTTAAAAGGTAGTAAACAACATATGCATAACAGTTGTAAGCAAAATGTAGTATTAAAATAAATCATATAGTATTTTGCACAAAAAAAAAGGAAATGGTTAAAAACAATGAAAAAAACAGCAGTGCACTGGTAAATCTGTGCACACTAGGAATCATATTTCCCTTAAATAAAGACACACTCTTGTGTGTGAGGATTTAGGTTATAGATTCTCAGTGCTGTCAAAATAAAGGTCTTTCTGTTTTTTATCGGCCAATGCTGATAAATAAAAATGGCCTAATATCGGCCTTGATTATATATTGTTCATCCACTGTTTACATGCAGAGTTATAATCGAGCTAAATTTATAAATACATTTTTATTTTAGTTTTTAACACAGTGCATAATGGAATATTTGAAAGAATAAATACATGTTGTGTCTGTTAGTCCAACTTAAAAAAAAAAATGTGTTTAAATGACATTTAAAGTGTCAAAGTTTAGAAAATAGCGACAGATCATTCTTTGTATTGTCACATACATCTGAATGTAACAGAATATTGAAAAGGAATATAAAAAAAAAAATGTAGTCCTTTGTTTAATCTTTTGGTTGTTGATTGGATGGAGGCAGATCTGAATGCAAACGTGCAGTCAGTTGTATGAAAGGGGCTGGGTTTACGAGGACAAAATAATCTGAGAAGTCCAGAGAGGAGTCTGTTGTTTCACTAGAAAATTGGGTAATTTTTATGATTAAAAAAATTAACATATGCATGAAAAAAATCACACAATAATTTCAATAACCTGCATTTTGAAAAATTTATGCAAAATTGTTTTAGTCTGACGTAAATTAAACTTGTAACATGCATGTAAATGCACTTACTGTGGATTCTGTGATGGTATTCTAATCCAGATGTGACCTGTTGTACTGAAAATTCAGAAATGGCAACCACGCCAACATTCCAGAGAGTGGATTTCTCCACTTCACCTGAAGATGATGTAATATTCCTGCTAAATTTAGAGGACAGCAATTGGACTTGGAGTTTTACACTTCCTCTAAGATAAACTGACACTCACTTTACCAAAACTCTAATCTTTTAACAAATGATCTTTCATGATCAGCACGATGGAAGATCATTAAGCTGGTTGCATTGTACAGTTAAAGTTGCTCCAGGTGGCAGAGTGGTCTGAGAGAAAGGGCAAAGGTCAGACTCAGGAGGGAAGGTTAATGAATAACCAGTCTGTCATTTATTTAGTGGCTGTCAGAAAGGCAGCGCTTACACAGATAATTGTAGCGCGCACAATCCCAGGCTAACCGTAAAACCAGACTGCTATTCTTTATTCCTAGAAATCAGGTCTTGTGTTGCTCTGGATTGGGTTAAAGTGGAATGTTTCAGTTGCGGGGTGTTTTTTAGACACTTAGTTTGCAACTCTGAATAGTTCTGGCTAAGATAACCGGCGGTCACGCTGTAGTCTGGAATGTTGATGGGCCTTATCTCTGTTCCCTTCTTCCCTTGAGGTGTGTCGATAGCGTCTGCTTGTATGGTTTGTGTGTGTTTGTATGGTTGCAGTGGGTAATAGATGCTGACCACAGTGTTCAAATTCCACCCTTGTTCCACACATGCACATTAGACCCGGGTTTTGCATTTTGCTGATAAGCTACTTTTTAGGGTGAACTTTCCATTTTATACTAGGGGTACTCTGATCAGGATTTTTGTGGCCGATCACTGATCGCCGATCACAGAAAGCAGTATCTGCCGATACCGATCTTTTTAAAGCCTTCTTTTTATAATTTATAACTATTTATAGTGATACTCCAATCAGGATTTTTAGACATTTATTCAGGGCCTGAATTTCATTTTTGAAAATGGGGGGGAATTCCCCTCTTAGGTGACTCTTGTGAGAGGGGAAGCAGCACGGACTGTGCTTTAACACAGGAGTCCACTACTGATCCGTGGCTGTTTACCACAAACACAACATTTATCCATTATTTTGATTTCAAATCCAAACATTGTCACTGAAAATGCTTTTTCAGCATTGCAATTCTTTTTTTTTTAACACAGTACAGTAATACAGTCTTTCACAGACATGTTTAAACACAATAAATATAAGCAACACATTATTCAGTGCTTTTTATATTTTTTTATAGATTTATGTCAAGTTGCTCAAGCAAGTGGCAAAACATTTAAACTACTTTTCTTACATTATCACAAACTACCATTGACAGAAATAG